ACACGGCATCGGCACAAGAAACGTGTCCGTCCACACGAGACCGCTCGACCCGCTCGAAACGCTGTAGTGCATATGCCGGGCCTGTAAGTGGCGCTGTACTTCCGCCACAAAATATACCATGTGTGTGTCTGTGTGTGTGTGTGTGTTTGTGTCTATGTGTGTGTGTACTTGCATTTGGAAGTGGGATTGAGTTTGGGAGTCTCTTCTCAGTGTTGGTGTATATCTTTATGTCCGAACTGTAATGTTTCTGTTAAACGTATTGACAGGCGCTGATACATCTGTCAATAGTATCGGCCATTAGTCTGAGGACGAGGTCAAAGCTTTTGTCAAGGCGAGGTCACTGACCTCACCGTTCACTTAATGAAAACATGACCACGAGGGGACCACAGGAAACTCCATCAATACACGGAAACTAAAGTGCAACCAAGAAAAGCATCTGCCACAAGTTTGCAATGATTGTGTTGTGACATGTCGTCATTTTCGTTTAACTTCATTTTTTTATTCAGACACTGGTCGAATCTACCAGAGGCCAACAAAGATTGACCTAAAATGAAGAAAAGTTGAAATTGAGAAGCTGTGATCATTAAACATGTGGTATTTTTTCTCAATAAATACAATTAGGTGAATTATTGATCAGAAATTCAAAGAGAAATCCATTATCTATTTTTGTTACAAACTCTATTTCTATATTATCTGAAGCCTGACCAGATACTGAAGCCACAACGTCAATAAAAAGACTCAACAGAAGTGTGCAGAAATCAACTTTACTCAAATGTTTTAACTTAAAACAACTGAAACCTTATCTCTAATTCATCCTCTTGCTCCTGCTACCCTTACTGGTGATCAGAGTTGCCGCTAATAGCTACAGAAACCCCTGATTTGTTCCTCTTTGTCATCATGTCCATTATTTGTAAGCCTTTAAGTTGTATAGAGTGACTACCAATCACCATGAGATCTCCTTAAACTCGGCTAACGTCCTATCTTAATCAATACCAGAACATTTAAAGGGCAGAACCCAGTGACAACAGAGCAACAGTAGCAGTAATGAACTGGGCTGATGTCTCTCGATGACCCCGTCCCCAACCCACAGGCCGGTCTGCACCGTCTGACCAAACCACAAGCAAACGGTCACAGATGGGTTCCTGCAAAGCCCCCACAGAACAGCCACCAACCGCCAGCCATCAAATACCATCACCACATAACCACCAGCTAACCGCTGAGAGTGAGGGAGGCTGAGAGAGGAAGGAGGGATGAGAGAGATGGAAGAAAAAGAAGTGAAGAAAGGACCTGAGCTAAAATAGATGAGAGCAATACAGAGGGATGGCTGCTTCACTTCAGACTGTAACACTGTGACTCCTGAAAGACTATGTTTGCCTCTTTATTCAATATCTTAGTCTAGATTTCTGATAAAAAGGGAAATACGGCAATAAACAAGTCAACAAGTGTCTTTTTTTGGGTTACATCTCTTTCTCTTCACCTCTACTGTATGTAGTGGTGCAGAGATGTTGTAGTCCAACCCGGAAGTTAGCATCTCAGGGGTTCCCAAAAAAAAAAGCAATGGGATTTTCTCATTAGGTTTCAGTATATTAGAGACAACAAGCTCTGTGGCAAACAAACATTTATGATACTTACAGTTTTTGTTCAGCAGGATAATCTCAACATATTAACACCACCTTGTGATTTTTTTTTGTAATCCTAAATGCAATGGGCAGAAGTAAAAAGCTAACGTTAGGCAATAAACAAACGACATCACGGTAGAATGGCTGCACATGACCAACGAGAAGCTAAAGGTGGCTAATGTTCTGCGTGATGATGTTCTGAAGTCTCATCTAGACGTATAGAAGCTTTGGACATTCACGATTTGGATATTTACTGACGTATTTGCGCCCGAGAACCAAAAGTGAAAATCTCTTCAGCTTGTGTACACCACAGACCTTATTTCTGGCATCTAACCAC